GACAGTGGACAAGGCCACTCATACTGGGTATCTATTGAACTGCACTGCACCAAAACAGCCAGGCACTGGGGGCAAGAGGAAGGTCCTCCTTCTACAAGCATATCATAGAATTGTAGTATATCCCAAGATGGAAGGGACCCGCGAGGTTCATTGAGTTCAACCCCTGGCTCCTCACAGCACCACCCAACATTCAAACCCAGTGTCTGAGAGCGCTTCCAAATGCTCCCTGAGCTCCAGCACTGGGGCCGTGCCCACAGCCCTGTGCAGGCTGTTCCATGCCCACCGCCCTGTGGTGCAGACCCTTTCCCTCACCCCCAGCTGCCCTCCCCTGCCGCAGCTCCATGCCGTTCCCTCGGGCCCTGTCGCTGTCACCCTGTGAGGAGATGTTGGCCATCATTCTTTGTAAAACAGAAAACCAAAAGTCAATGCAGGACATGCTTCTGGTCTGTAGAAGTGCACAGAGGTACTTCATGCTGCTCCATGAACTCCTGTACAATACAGCTCGCACAGGCGCTGCCCTTTCAGTTAAACTGCTTCGTTATGCAGTTCTCTATTTCCTCCATCCTGTGCATTTGAAATGGCACAATTAAATGTTTCCATTTCTCGGTGGGTTTGAAATGACACTGCTGAGTGGTATTGGAAAATCTCTCCGTGGTATCCAGGTGCTCTGGGATGCACAAAGTTTGGTGCTTCTTTGTCTGCCTTCTTTGTATGATATCAGGAATTCCAGAACTTGCCGTTGCACATTAACTTCTTCTCCATTATTACTAAGAACTCAGCAAGCATATTGCACCACATAAAGTTTTTAGCAGAGCTTTATAAGAAAATAAAATATTTGCAGTGGCACAGCAGGGAGAGAAACCGCACGGGAACTTCGCTCTACCTGAAAATCAGCAAGGTTTTCATTGAGGTAACTGCAGCAATGAAGCACAAAGGTAGGTCATTCTCACTGCTAGTGCCAGCTTTAATTAATGGATAAACCGTTATTAGGCAAGGAAAAAAAAAAAAAACGAACCAGTTTCAACAGAGCTGTTCCCAGCACCTCCTAGCTGAATGACAACGGCGTTTCTTCAGTCATGTCAGATCGCCAGCAAGGATTTTGCAGCCTCCTCACTGTCTTCTTGGACTGCACAAAATGCTCCCATTGTGTTACTGCGGTGCATTATCTGTGTAAAGCAGTCCAAAAACAGGCAACTGTGGCTTCATCTGGAAACTATGTACTGCTGTGCTGTTGGAAAAATAAGTGCAAGACCTGATGTTAAAACACATCAGAAACGCAAAGAAAGGTTTTCACAATGGTTTAAATTACAGAGGTTTCTTAATGTCTTCTTTTGGAAAACATCTCCTGTCCTTGTGCCAGCACGGAGTTGCTGGACTCCTACGGAGGCTTTGGCCAGTGCTCAGTACCCATCACCTAGGTATAAGCTAAATACAATGGAAGTCCCATCTGGGGCAGATTTATATGTTTATATAGATATATATGTTCATAAAACCTTGAGGGAAAAAAAAAAAAAACAACACTAAAAAACTGCATGAAGATCTTCTATATCCACATCCAAGTATGGGTTCTGGATCTTTCTGTGTTAGACAGCACTTTACTCACAGTGATACTGCAGATGCTGAGGGATGTGCAAACCTGTGGATTATTTCTCTGAGTATAATGTAGGGAAAAAAGTAATCTGGTTTTCCTGCAAATGGTAAAACCCTAAGTGGTCTGATGTATGGCTAAACAGTCCTCTGAATTTTGTGGAAAAAATGCCCTCACCAAAGCTCTCCTTTAGATTCACCCTGTTCCCATGAGAATGGCAGATGCTTTTCCTCACAACCCCAGGACATCAAACCAGGGTTTGATGAGCAAAACCTGCTGGTCACAGCCAGCCATGGCTCCCCTTGCTGGAAACTCCTCAGAATGACAGAATATCCCAAGTTTTTTTGCCTTTCTGTTCACCTTGATTTGCAGTAGCCCACACCCATGTGCACACACAAAGCAGAGGATCCTGCTGGCAGCACAACTACGTGCAGGATTTATGGAAGGGCAGCAGGTGAGCCCATTACCTGAACAGGCAAGCTACTTACCCTTGGCTAACAAGGACCAAACTGACTTGTGAAACTTCTCCTCAGGACTGGTAGGCTATTGAAAACAAAAGACCACTTTATTTTCCCATTTCATTTTTCTACTGTCACTCTACTTGCTGTGTTGAAGCCTCGCAGACTCCTGTCCTGTGTACCTTTGTTCTTGCTAGCTTACCACAACTGCACATCTCCAAAGACCTTTTTGTAGCTTTTTTGACAGTATTGGTGGGCAAAGGAAGAGCAACCAATGACGTCTCCCTGGACTTGTGCAAGGTTCTGACATGGTCCTGCACTGTATCTCTAAATTGGAGAGATAGAGGTTTGAAGGACTATTCAGTGGATGAGGAATTGGTTGGATGGTTGCAGCCAGAGGGTTGTGGTCAATGGCTCTACGTCCAGGTAGAGACCGGATACAAGTGGTGCCTCCCAGGGATCTGTCTTGGAACCAGCACTCTAACAACTTTATCAATGATACAGATGATGAGATCAAGTGCAAGTTCATTGATGACACCAAGCTGACTGGTGTGGTTAACACAATAAAAGGAAGGGATTCCATCCAGAGGGACCTGCACGGGCTTGAAAAGTGGGCCCAAGTGAACTGAATGAGGTTTAACAGGACCAAGCGCAAAGGGTTGCACTGGGGTGAGGTCAATCTCATATATGTACAGACCGGGAGAATTCTTCCAACCCAAGCCATTCTACAAGTCCATAGATTCCATGTTGTGGCAATGTAACCCTGACCTATAACTGTAGAGGCACTTGATGCATATCACATCTGCCTTTTGAAAACTCACAATCACATCATTGTCTCAAACCAATTTTTTTGTTTAGTTTTATCCTGCTTTTAGTTCAGCACTATTCTGCTTCCCAATTGGAACATGATTGATTTTTGCCCCAAAGATGTTGTACACTGTGTCATCCTATCTCTTAATACCATCTCAGTTTGACAATACAACAGGCACAAAATGGTCTCATGCTAACTTTCAAACTGCTATTAGTACTCAAGAGAAGAATAACTACAGTCAATGCTGGAAATAACTTCATGCTCCCACTTTGCCACACGCAAACCACTTCCACAACATTCTGAAGAGTAGGAGGTGCTGGATTTCCTTCAGTGAACAGGTACAGGTACAGGTATCTCCCTGTATCTGCCTTTTTTTCCTCATCTTACATAAAAGCACTGCTTCAATTTCCTTACAGTGTTAAATCAAAGGCTTTGATATGAGCACATTGTACTGGAGTTCCAGAAAGAAGCAGTGAGGTTGTAAAACACACTGAACAAGAAAATGAATAAATAATAAACGAAGAAGAACACAGTGCAACAAAGACACAGTTTAAAAAAAAAGACATAATAGGTGTAATGATTAAACATAACACGGGCTTTAAAAATAGGTGGTCATGTAAAAAACAAGCCACATGATGAATTCTTCCATAATATCTCATGGTTTACCATAGAAGAATTGCTTGCTTGAGCCTTGCTTCTTCAGCTGATAATCAAACAGAATAAATGTATGACAATAGCTGGAGCAGTTCTGCAACTTTCTGAGACTACTGGTGATAAAAGTTCTCTTAACACACCAGGTGCAATCTATCACAGCAAGTCTATTGCATTTCAGGAAAAAATAATAATGGGATCAAAGGAGTAACAGGAATTTGAAAGCAATTAAACCAATTAATTTAACAGAATCAGGATTCATATCTAACGAGCAATTTGCTGACAAGGTGCTCCCCAGAAGGGATTCTTCCGCATCCAATTAGTAGACCAATTGCACAGACCTATTAGCAGTTCCTTGCAAATTATCAGCTAAATACTCTGGGAGTAGCCAGTGATGGATTGTAAGAAACCAAGAGTGAAAAGGGAAAAGTGGAGAGAGGATAGAGAGGAGGGAGAAGACAAGAATGAAGAGCTAAAATCAAGGGAGAAGAAAAAGGCTTTTAGCAGGACTAAAAACTGGGGGTCTGCATCCCAAAAAGCCAATTCAGACCCTGAGAGCAAACCCTGTGAAGAGCTCCCACGACATCCTTCTGCCTCTGGAAAGAGGTAGAATCTGCCCTGGGCAGCCCCAGGGAGGGGGGATGCTGCCAAACACAAACACTGCATTTATCCCTCACTGGGCGCAGTGACCCTGGGACTGCTGGTGGGTCCAAATATTCTACAAGAAGTTCCTATGAAAAGTTGCACCAATTCAATGACCTGTTTAGTTTGCAAGGAAAATGCATGAAAAAAGTCCATTCAAACTGTTCTGTCATTTACAATTTAATTTAAGTCATAAAATCCTCAATATGTGATAATTCAAACTAACCTATATGCACTCTTTGGAATTAGCTGACTTAAGCCACAGCAACATTTCTGATACAACACAGGCCAAAATCAAAGGAGACTTGGAATCTGGGACAGCTCAGGCTGGAAGGGAGCTCAGCCTGTCCTCCTGCTGACTGGGAGGGATTAACTGTGCACAGGGTACAAACTCTTGGAAGAGGAAAGCTGATTCAACCTCAACTCAAATCAACTCTTCCTTATGTTTTCCAGTTGTTATTGCATTTATCAACTAATAATTCTGTGTGCTTCAAATCCCAAGCAAATGTCAGCTAAAATACATTTTTCTCCAAGCCTCTCCCTTGACCTGTGACCCCACATGGGAAGCAGTGCTCCAAGGCGAGCTCTGCATGCACCTGACCCAGCGAGGGGCTGGGACACCACACACCACTGGTCTGGCACATTCCTGTGCCTTTCCAGAGCTTTGTCCCAGACAGAAAACCACTCCCTTGCAACAAGGGAGTCTGCAGCCAGTGGTCATCCCTAAAGAACCGTAGGAGGGCGCACGCTGGTTCTCACCCATTTACTCTCACAACTTATTTTCCCAGGGCACTGGTTTCAGAACATGTAGATTCATTCTACTACTGGAGTATCAGAAAGGATCACAGAATTTAGGACCTTTCTCATTAAAATCTTTTATTCATAAGTAATAATAAAAATGGAAGCAAATCTTTCAAGACACAATCAGATTTTAAAATATCTCAGAATCAACACAAGTAATGTGAGCTAATTAATTATGACAATGCCACATGCTCTTAATGAAACAGGTTTGATCTTGAAAGTAACTGGAACCTTCTATAGTCCAAAATACAAAAACGTACATAATATGAGGAAATCATTCCCATAATTAATTCACTATTGCTTAATAGGGCACCAAGTGTGGGTGCTGACCTCCCCAACTTCAGATGGTTAATGAGGATTGTGCCAGTCACTGTGGCAATGAAAAGCAATAGAAGAAACCTGACAATTTTAATTCTGTTTTGGGATAAAACTGAGTTCACAAATCCTCCTTTCCCTCCACAAGTCATAAATTAATGTAGGACAATCTCAACGTCACACCCCCATCCCATGCTTAACAGACAGATGTGCTCTCGGCCCACCAATGCATCAGGGAGCACAACTTATCTCAGGTCTTGTTCGTTGTGATTTACACAGAAGTGGTACTGGTGTGTTCCTGCAGACATTCTTGCTGTTCAGCACCGTAACTAATGGAGCTGCAGTAACATGTTTCTGTGTCTGCACCTTCTGTAAAGAACAAGCCTTGAAATGCCCCCGAGCATTTCATTGAAACGAGTGCTTAAGGTTTCAGAATCTGTGCTGTATCAGAAGTTACATGACCTGCTGGCACAAATTCAGAAATGCTAAACTCAAGCAGTGCGGGTGCAATGCACTGTTTCAGGTTATTCTTCTTGTCTGCATAACAATAATGCCCCAGTGTGTCAGCTAAGTTCAAAATCCAGCTATATTACGTGGTACGTACATTTGTAAGACAACTTTGATGTGGACTGAATGAAGCATACCACTGCAGCTGCTTTCAGGAGATACTGCTGCTTTCAGGTATACACTCCATCCTTACACAGCCACTGTGCCTCCTCCTGGAGGGAGGGACACCAATAAAGCCAAAGTGCTACATCTAAGCCACGGCATCTTTCTCTCTCTGCAGCAGAGAAAAGTATCAGATACTTGGGGTCTACAGAGGAGTCCTAAGTAAACAATCATTGCTTCTGATAATGTACAAGGAACACAGAGGTGATTTCTCTTCCCAAGACCATTAAGAAGGTTGTAGAGTTGCTCGGAAAAGCCTAGACAAATCCATTATACTCTATAATCTCCCAAAATAGCTTTAAATCCAATTACTTTATTTCTCACAGGCAAGCCTTAGAATAGAGCACGTCTATGCAGCAATGCCTATGACAGCACCAACCACCTGACTCAAGCTAGGGCAAAGCCGTGGGGTATCAAAGTGCGTGGTCTGGAGAACCAAGTAGGTGTCTGGTCAGTCTTACTGAACCAGGGGGAGGGGATGAGGATGGATCTATTTACTCACATTCAGGTCATTGCACTACTACAGAAGTGCCAAAGAGGGGGAAGAAGGAGTAATCACAGAATCACTGACTTAGGCTGGAAGGGACCTTAAAGATCATCGAGCTCCAACCCCCTGCAATGGGCAGGGCTGCCACCCCGCAGGTCAGGCTGCCCAGGGCCCCATCCAACCTGGCCTTGAATGCTGCCAGGGATGGTAATTCTTTCCCCTGCATTGTGGAATGGTTACAGAGCTAATCTGAAGTGACCCTTAGTGCCTCTGAGGTCTCAGCTCACTGGCCAAAAAACCTGCTCTCTGCTTAGCACAACCTCCTATCTGCAGTCAGTGCTTTACAAATTAACCTCACTGCCACTCTGATTGGTAGTGAGGGCTCATTTTCTCCAGTGGCAAACAGCTGATGTTTGCCAATTCCAGATCCCTGCATAAGCAAATATTGTTCAAGTGCTGAATTTCAAAGCAAGCTGAAAAATGTGTTATTTAAAATATGATTGTGTTCCAGCATTGCACAGTATTAATATTGCTAAAGCTACCTAATGCTTACACATCCAATGCATATATATATAATGATCTGATACAGTTTTAACTGAACTTCTAACAACTGTTTCCAGTTATTTGTTAATTATGTCACGACAAATTTGGACCAAATATTTCATTTGTCTTTACACTTGTGCTCATCACTGCTTGCACATTCGGTCTCTTCTGCATGACCAAAAACCTCCACATTTTATGAAGAACCACTCTTAGTTTGGTCTATCCTGTTACACAAGGTGTCCCTCAGTTAGATTTCATTTGTTTCTTCAGTTTGGCAAGACCAATGAGACAGTCATCTCTCCATTCTCTTCTGGCACCGAGGTGCTTTGGAACAGCTGGAACTTTTTCAGACATCGCCTGAAATAGAAAATTTAAGAGATAATCAGAACTTACTTTGTGAGTAGTAAGCAGGATTGTTTTCTTGCTCTCGGGAATCATCAGATCCAGTAACCTTCAACACAAAGTGCAATTTAATCCATCACAAGCAATAGGCTGCTAATTCTTCATGTCTGACTGGAGATGAGTCAACAGACATGAGAAAAGTGCTCCCGTTGGAGAAGTTTGATCTGCAGTTGCAGTGAAGGTGCCTACAGAAACACTGGTGCATCAGCTTCCTTTCTCCATTTAGCCCACACAGCCACTACCTCATCTTTTTGGCAGTAATCCTTTATTAAGTAGGAAGGAGACCACTTGGCCTTTTATGTGGCTAAATACGTGCTCTGAACCAAATCCATGTATGTGTGTCTAAGGCTGTGGCTTCTCTTCTGGCTCCTAATAAATGTAATGAGGAATACCATGTTTGTTGCAAGCATTTATTCTAGGAGTGCCTGTTGCAATTTAAATGGCAGCGGAAGAGTTGTAACAAACCCAGAATTATGATTTTAGTTTTTAATTGGAAAATGAGGGAGAGAAAAAATTAGAGCACTATTTCAGGATCCAAAGATAAAAGTGCATAAACAAAGCTGCCCAGATGTACCTGCTATATGCATCATTGAAAGAAGAACAAAAGGCACTAAATGGTAGAACATTGGTAACAGATTTTCTTCCCAAGAAAAAAAGCTGTTTCTGAGAATGGAGGTAGAGACCATAAGGTCATCTTGGCCAAAACAGCAACCAAGGTCTTAGGTTTAAAAGGTAAGTGCTGGGAAACTGAAGAAAACCTGGTGCTGCTCCCAATGCCTGGCAAGCTGCAGTCACTCCAGAAAAAATCAGTGGGAGGGATAAAAGAGGAAGATAAGAGATGCTTAATGTTTTACCCTTATGAGAAGATTCTTGCAAACCCGCCTTTGGTGCTGATGACTTTAGATAATAGATACAGAAACAAATGCTGATAGACAAAAAGACAGATGCTGAAGTGGAATCTTGTACGCCATAAAGAAATCCAAACTGTTTCATTCTAATCAAAAGCTTCTACTTGTGACAACTCTCAGTTGGCTTTGATTGTTGTTATAAGCAGACTATGTTGTTTGAGCACAAAAAAACACTCTTTCCCTTTTAACAGCAGCTGTTGAAACTGCATTAACATAAAAAGGCAGAAAAATGCTATGTTCCAGAGTGACTGCATATAGGGAATTAAACTGTGACAGTTAATCAAGATCAATCCATTACATATCCATGTTCTTTAGCAAAATATTTTAAAAGGCAACTACGAAAACGTAGAGTAAGGAAATGGCAATACTTTAGCTACTTTCTATGGATGCACATAATATCTTACAAGGTGAGTATAAACAAATTGTTGGGTTTGAAACTTGAAAGACAAGCTGAGTCCCAGTACAGCATAGCACTTAAAACACATCTTATTTTTGTGCATATAAGCAATCTTACAGGACTGCTCACATGCTTAAGGTAAACTTAGCATGCCTTCATATGTGTTACAGACCAGAGATCTAGTTTTTAACTACACAAAGAACAACTGAACAGCTGGAGGAAGAAAACTACAGGGTTTATGCAGCAAGATGAGTAGAAGGAAGACAAAGGAAGAAAGGCTTTTATATAAGAAGAGAAACTTGGAGTTTTGCATGTAATGACAAAGGACGTAGCACAGACATGATAAGAAATAGTGTGAGAGTTTTAATGTCTGTAACCCACAGCTGTTGAAAGTTGACTCCTCTGGCTAGTAATAACGTTACTCACCTGATCATCCTTTGATGTATTTCAAAGTGCTCTGAAAAGGGACTCAGATAATCACACATTTTGTACTGATCTTTTCGCTCAAGGTGCACAATCAAACAAGAAACAGAGTACAGATACCTCTAACAGTAAATTGAAATTATATATATGTATAAGCTAACATTCTTTGTTGTGATTGTCATTGCATTCATTGGCTCTATATTTACCTGACTGATCTTCTGCTCAATTTCACCTGAAAATTCTGGAACCGGTCCAAAGGTATTCAGAACAAGTTTCATACCTTCACGGTATCTTTCACAATAATTTGAAATACCTAAAATAAGAATGAAGGATTACATTTGATCAGAAATTCCTACTTTAAGTACAGTAACACTAGCTGTACTTAGGCTTTCTCTTAACTTAGAATCCAGAAAAGGTGTGCTCTTATGCCTAAGACAGCTCATTACCACCAAGGAAAAATGGGTTCCATCTGCTGCATTTTCATTAAGGTTCATGGAATAATCACTTAGGACACATCTTCTGTACAAAACCAATAAAGGTTACATACCAGCAGGCAATGCTGGTGAGGGGTGCAGTACCTAACAGTGGTTATACTTGTGCTTTGTTACCTTAGACCAGAAAGCCTCCCCAACTATTGCACACAAGGAGTGCTCTCACCTCTCCTCTTCTCCTGCTTGGTATGCATTGTATCATTTGAAGCATCCCTCTTATGGGTTTTATTTAGTGACCTTGCAACAAAGCTTAAGGGAAAAGAGTCAAAGGCAAGGAAATCACCATATGGTGGTCTCTAGTGAAGGTTTGAGGAAAAATACACAGATTCTTGCAGATCAGTACTTTGTTGTGCAACTGCAGATGACAACAGGGATTTGGCTTTTATGATAACAGGACTATCTCTGAAGGTTAGCGAAGGCAGTGCTATGGGAAATTGTGATCCACCTGACAAAGTGGAGCAAACACATTTTGCCATAAAGCTGACAAGGTAATTTGACAAGGAAAGCCTTGTATCAGAACACCTAACCTGACCACCCCCTCTTTTAGTTTAAATCCATTCCCCCTTGTCCTATCACTACCAGACTGTGTAAAAACCTGGTCCCCCCACTGTTCATAAGCTATCTTCAAGTACTGGAAAGCTGCAATGAAGTCTGCCCAGAACCTTCTCTTCTCCAGGCTGGACAAGTCCTGCTCCCTCAATCCGTTTTCACAAGAAAGGTGCTCCAGCCCTCTGAGCATCTTCAATGCCCTCCTCCGGATCCAATCCAACAGCTCTGCAGTTTTCTCGTGCAGGGAACCCCAAGCCTCGATGTGGTACAGTTGATGGGGCCTCACAAGGGCAGGGCAAAGAGGGATAATCCCTTCCCTCTCCTTGCTGGACCCCTCTCTTCTCATGTAGCCCAGGATACAGTTGGCCTTCTGGGCTGCAAGCACACTGCTGGCTCATGCCCACTTTTCATCCACCAGGACCTCCAAGTCCTTCTCCACAGGGCTGCTCTCAAGGAGTTGTTCTTCCAGTCTGTACACATATCTGGGATTGTCCTGACCAAAGTGCAACACTTTGCACTTGGCCTTGTTGAATTTCATTAGGTTCATGAGAACGCAATTTTCAAGCTTTTCCAGGTCCCTCTGGATGGCATTCCCTTCTTCTTGCATCAACTGCACCACCCAGCTTAGTGTAGTTAGCAAACCTCCTATTTAGAGGTAAGGATGTGGTGTGGAACCATTATCCCAGTGAATACACTAACTTGAGAGGGGAAGCTCTGAATATCCTTCAGAACCCCTTTTCTGAGAACCTCAGACACAGAAGAATTTTTACCCTTCTTTCTCATCGTTATCTAATTATCACAGCAAAGAGAAAGCTATTGAAGACAAAGTAGTAATGGTCATCAACCCTCATACAAGGGCTCAGGAGATTATATAAACTGAGAAGCATGAGCTTGAACTCACCATGGTCTTATCTAACCACTAAACACAAGGAACATTAAGAGACTACCACATGACAGAATGTATCCTAGGCCAAGTCACTAAGTAGTCCCTTTCCCAAACAGCTTGCAGGCAGTCCTCTGGAATGCAATATTGTGTGATATGAATACCATAAAAGTCACACCTGCCTAACCCTAAATGATTGAGCTTGAAGGTGGATGAAGGAACAGAAACCTCCAACTACTGGTAACCATGAATCATAAACTAACACTTGTAATGCTCAGCATACCTCATAGCCTGAAAGTGCTGAAGTACACACATTCCAAATGGCTTCTGAGGTCAGTAAGATTATGGAGAACACTGTTGTTTCTGGAGGAAGAACTTTCAAAAGACAGATAATTTCATTAGGAAATGGGCATTGACATTATGATGGCCATCATATAAACAGCTGAAAGGACAGGCTGGGAGAACACATCCATTGCCTGAGAGTAGCCTGGAAAGATTTGAGAGTACTGAACCCTCTTTAAAAAATGGATTAGAAACATTCTCCAGTGTCAGAAGGAAGGAAACTTTGAGAAAAAGAGCAGCCTTCTTAAGTAGCTTGAACTCATGTCTTGTGCCAAGAGCATTCCTGTCAGCATTTTGTCACTCTATTTCCTTGTGTTATCCACCCATGGGGCACATCTGTTCCTACAACACGCTTTGGCATGTTTGGCTTTCTCTAGCAGAAAAAAAAAGGACGATATCTAGTCACGTAGGTGTATCAGTGCACTAGTTATCTGAAAACTTTGTATTTGGTTCAATTATCTTGATTGCTACACAGACAGAAACATTCAAGTTGTCTAGTGGGCTCCAAAATACCACTGATGGAAGTGTCAGAAATATTTGGGAAGAGAAGCATTAATTGCAGAACTGCTGTGATCCAATTCTATCTCTTCCATTGAGAGAATAAGCAGAGATCATCCTCGTTCCTAAAAACTTTGCAAAGGACCACTAGTTCTTGGAATACTGGCCATGTCCTGCCACTAGTGTAAAGGGCTGCGCTGTCACCTCCTAACAACTGGGTTCACAGACTGGGACCTGCAGCCAATCTGGAATGACCTACAGGGATGTTCTAGATGATACTCATGCACCAACCACAGGAAGGTAGTATCTACGTTCTATCTTGTTCATGTGAGCTTTTTCTTCTAATTCTGAAGAGTTTGAGGAAAACATTTCCCCCCACATTGTGCAACACACATCATGCAACACCACAGAAAGTTCCCAGGTACACAAGTAGAAATTACTGAGGCTGGAGTGCAGAACTATGTGGTCACTTTGCAAACTCACTTGCTAATTACCAGAAAAGCAGAAATGGATTCAGCCAAATACGGCAATTCAAGCAGATCCACACAAGCAATTAGTAATCGAAGGAATGGTAAATGAAGCAGTGTCAATTACAGTTCTTCTGGTGCTTAAACAGCTGACACAAGTCTATGACACCTAAACCAGTACTGAAAAGTTTGGGATCAGTAACTTTCCTCAAGCCAGTAGAAACAAACCTCACAATCACTTGGTAAGCCTGGCAATAACACTATAGATCTGAGAAGTTCTGATTCTAGTGTAGTCAGGAGAAGGTAGGTGAGAAGTCTCTGTGCTACGAATGTATTTCAGGAGCCTCAGTTTAAAGACATAACCTTAGTAGCTTGGGTAGATGAATCTTTGGACTTGGCTGATTCATTTACCTGGTGGATGTGAACTCCTGAGCTAGAGATGGTATTCAAAAGTTCACTCAGCCAGCTAGTCTTACAAATCGAGCTCCTGGCAACTCATCTACAGCTTGAATGAATCACAACAGCTTCTGGGTGGGTGCATCTCACCAAGGCAACACAGACATGCCAAATGCAGATTGGTTAATACAATTCACTCATTGCATGCAATGTATGAATGAAAAAGAAGCCTTATGCAAAGTCATCAAAATAAGAAGAGGTACAAAACCAAAATGTTATGGATGTAGAGAAGAGCAGCAATGTTCATCTCAACATTGTGGTTGAAGTGGCAACAAGCAAGCATGTACACTGCATGCCAAGCAGGGGGTGAATGTTCTGTGCAAGCACTTTTCAGTCTTAGGTGAAGGAAACGTTGAAAGTTAGAATACATTCATGATTTCACTCAGAGACAAAATCAAACAAACAAATACTTTTCCAAGTAGCTACCCTGCACTCCCAGTGTAAAATCTCAGTGGAGAAATGCAATGTTTGACCTGATGCAAGTAAAGATCAACCCTATGCTACTAGCTTTAAGGCGGCACTTGAACAATGGAAAATACTGTTGGAAAAGTCACTTTGCTTTGCAACTGCAAACTCAAAAAGACAAATATTTGACTCCAGGCCTTTAGACTTGGGAGTTTCTTCATTCAAAGGTCAGGGCTGTAAACAAAGAAAAGCACTTGGCTGGAGCACAGGGACAAGAAGATGGAGAACAAGTACTACAGAATCCCTTTAACTTTAATCCTTGTTGATACTCCCCAGGTAGCACCTTAAGCTTGATGAATTAGACTCAATAAACAGTATGAGACAAAATCAGGGCAGTACCTGGGATCTGGAAAAACAGGAAGAAGATGGCACATGAGGCCACCACCCTTCCATGCACCTAGTGCTGTGCCCCACTATCTTCAGCCAGGAAAAAAATAGCATCTCCAGCAAAAAAGGGTAAACAACTTACAGCACAGGGATAGCAATACTTTCCACTTGCCCACATGGTTTGCCATTCCTCTGTCTAAGCCTCTCTCTTCCTTTTACACTCACCTCATCCACGTTGGAGAAAAGGGGCTGTGGGAGAAGGCAGACATTTTGCAGCAGACATCTGAGAACCATAACCACAGAACAGAAATACCCCCAGGGAGGGCAGGAGTTCCTTGAATATTCATCCCACCACATGTGGGAACTATGTTGAAGAGTGGAAGAAGAGGAATGAATAACAAAGTGTTCGGAAGGAGCAGGAGGTATGGATTACAGAGATGAAAAGGAGTACATTCCTATTCCACCCAACATTTTTTGACTGGTACAGTGTATTTACAAGAACAGGTTATCACAAGCTAGAGGAGGACATTAATTCTCAGTTGTCCATATCTATCTTGCCCAAGAGGAAAAGCAAGCTTCTTTTATACCAACTATATGGGAAGAATAAGATACACTGCTGTTTTTCAGGTGCTCAACTGAAAAACTTCCACTGGTGTGGCACAAACGTGGGTATTAGTGAAATGCCTCTAGTTGCATCATCAAGATGCTGAGAAAGGAACAGGACACTGAGAAAGGAAAAGGAACTCTCGATGGCATTTAGTTTAGAAGCACACATAAAAATACCTTGCTGCCCTTAGAAGTTGTCTTCAGAGGTGGGGTCCTAAACACCAAGGCA